AGCGATGGCCTCCAACTTAAGAGCGATGGCCTCCAACCTAAGAGCGATGGCCTCCAAGTGTAGAGATAGAGAGTTTTGCTTCACCTTCTCTCCCTAAAATGTAAAATGCTCCCGCCAGGGGTGTTGTGTCCGGCCGCCACTGCGTAGGGAAACGTGCCCTTGTCCTTTTCCCAACTTGTCCAAACTTGACTTCAATGGTGTCAGCCTTCAGTGCAATCCACTGTCAACACTGAAAATGAAGTTCACATACCACAACAGGCCCATCCACAAAAAGGAATCAAATGCGGTTGATCATTCCATCTTGCCCACGGCTTCGCATCCACTGAACATCTTTCAACTTCTTGTAGTGCTCGCTCGAGCACCGCCCCACTGAGCTTCCCCGGCGGCTGCCCGTGCCTTGGCGTTTGCCCGGCGCTCCTCCGCCTCCTTCTGCCGCGCCGCCATGCGCGCGTCCAGCTCCGCCTTTCGGCGCGCGGCACCATCCATCCTCGCATCCACCTGCCAGGCGTAGGGTAGGGAGGAGTGCAGAGGTGCAACAAAATGGAACAAAGAATGCTAGGTGGCAAGCGTTTGGATCAGAAACATGCATTGAAGTAGGTGAGAGGAAATTGAAACGAGTGATTTGGCATGCCTGCCTTGGACGCCAAGTCCTGAGGCACGAGAGATTCAAGGCCACCGAATCGAAAAACTCTTGGATTCAAGCTGACGGGATGAGGAACATAGCTCAGCGATCGAAAAACTCACAGCAAGCAGCAAAAGCACAAAATCCTTCCCACATGTTTTGATCGACAAAATCTTGCACCACCTCACGTTGAGGACTGCTACATGTGCGTAGACTTGATCCATCCAAGAAGACTTCTGAATGGCCCTGGCCTGCGTCTCGGGCGAAGGCCCAGGAGGTGGTCCGACAGGCCCCGGAGGTGGTCCCGATGGCCCCGGAGGTGGTCCCGACGGCCCAGGAGGTGGTCCCATGGGTGCGGAGCTGGTGGAAAAGCTGGTGGAGACATGCGAGGGTGAGCTGGACGACACATGGTGCGATGGCGATGAGGTGGGGCACGCGGCGGGTGGGGGCCCAGCCGGCCCGGGTGGAGCCGCGCTGGCCGAGACATGAGATGGAGATCCAGTGGGAGAGGCAGCACCAGTCTTTGGGAGCGCCGCAGGGCTGGGAAGGGCAGATGGCTTGGATGGCAGTGCAGATGGTGTGGGCAATGCTGCAGGCGTTGGGAGGGCTGCAGGTTTTGGTAAGGCCGCAGGTGGTGATGCACCAGGTGGTGGGCCCATTGGCCCTGGCGGCTTGTTGGGACCTGGCGGTGGCCCTGATGGGCCCGGGGGTGCCGCTGCTGGTGGTGGAGGACCAGATGGACCTGGTGGTGGTTGATTTGGTCCTGGAGGCCCTGGTAAGGCTGAGGCTTTGGGGCCGGGTGGGGACCCAGCGGGTCCCGCTGGTCGATTTGATCCGGGGGCGGTCGGGGCTGGTGGGCCAGGCGGTGGGCTGGTGGGTCCTGGCGGGGCACTGACTGGCTGGCTTGGTGGTGCTGCGAGCGGTGGTTTGGAGGGTGGCTCTGCCCCACTTGATGGCTGGCTTGGTGGTGACGCAGGTGGCACGGCCAATGAGGCTGAAGGACGTGCCGGTGGTTGTGCAAGAGGGGCACCTGATGATGGTTGGCTAGGCTGTGCAGGTGGTGGAGTCACTGAAGGGCGTGCAGGTGGCTGTGACAGGGGTGCACCCAGCGAGGGCCGGGCTGGTGGTTGAGCAAGTGGTGCGCCCAATGAAGGGCGAGCGGGCGGTTGCGCCAAAGGCGCGCCCAACGAAGGGCGGACAGGTGGCGTTGCAAGTGGTGGACTCTTTGTTCCTGTTTGGGGTGGTTGAGCAAGTGGTGGGCTGCTTGGCCCTGGTGGCGGTGGCAAGCCTAAAGACCCTGGTGGCGCACTGGTCGACTTACTAATCACAGGGCTCGGTGCTGTCGGCGCCGGCGGTGTTGTTGGGTCTGGTGGTGGGCTGCTGGGCCCCGGTGGTGCTGGGGCAACGGGTGCCGGGGGGCTCAACGCTGGTGATGTACTGGGTGCCTTGCTGAGTGGGGCTGTCGGTCCTAATGGTGGAATCGCAGGGCTTGTTCTGAGTGGGGCTGCAGGTCCTGGAGGAGTGGTGCGACCTGTTGGGCAAGCTGCAGGCGATGGAGTTGGCATGGCCGGTGTGCCTCGCAGGGATTCCACGTATCAGGTGTTTCAGATTCCAAGTGCACCAGATTCTGCATTGAGGCCTGGACTGGCAGACGTCGCCTTCAAGCCGCAGCAAGCCAAGGTCTTTCAAAAGGAATTACAGTAGCGTCCTGGCTCCTAGTACCGATGCCCTTTGTTACTAGTAGCGCCTGTGCTCCTAGTAGTAAGGCCAGGAGCCCCGTTCGTAGCGTCCTTGCTCCTTACGTGAAGTGAAGCTCGTCCGGTGCCTGGACAGCAGGTGCCACCAGTGGAGGGGCCACGGTCGCCGCTGGCCTGGCCAAGGCCGACTAAAACAGGACCCACCCCGGTCACCTCCTCTGTCTTAGCAATGGCTCTCCGGTTTTTTCATGTGGGTTTCTTTGAAGACTCCTGCAGATTCCAGATGATTCCAGAACACATCCAAGGGGTTGAGTTGCACCAATGACTCCCAAAAGGCCTTCCAAACACATCACGTTTCTTCGGCGACGACGGTGGGCGCAGGAGACCCGAACGTGCCTTGCAGGGGCCCGCGCGGCCTGTGTGGCTGGAACGATTGATGTAGGAAGAGAGGCAGCCTGTTTTTGTAGTGTTTGGATTGCGGTGAGATTGGCCCTGCCAGGGAGGTCCCCAGGTTTATTTGAGACGTGCTTGCGCGCAACCAACGAACATCCAATCTCATCACATGACTCCCTCACGCGCAATTGAAAGAATGTGACTCTTCCAAAACCTCCGCCTGGTCGTCAGGTGGCTGTGGGCCTGTGGTTTCGTTGGGGCATGACAGGGCTTCATGCCAGCAGTGGCTCAAGTGATGAACAGCCCTTAGAGCCTAGATTTGAGTTCGTGGTTGTGTGCGATCCGAGCTTGCCGGCGTGAGAGGCAGTCCGAACTTAGGCCACGGCTGCTGGCCAAGGAGTTGGTGGTGGCCTGAACCTCCAAAAACCACCAAGTGCTGGCAAATATCACAGAGGCATTCTCATCTCCCAGGGACAAAAAGCATGACTTCAGCTTTGGAACACTCCTACTCCTGTAGCCACAAGTAGCGCAAACACCACGTTCCTTCAGAAGCGGGGATTGTTCGGTCTGAGTGATCGGAATTCGGTCTGAGTGATCCACCGGAAGAGCCGCGGCTTTGGGCCTTGGAGCGGGTGCCGCAAACATGTGGCCTGTGGCGTCTTGGACCGAATGATCTCCTGTGGCGTCTCCCGAAAGACCA